TTCCGGTGCGCTTGACACGGGCAGGAGTCCGCTCCTTCGCTGCCAGACCCTGAACGTTCCTGTTGCGGGGTACTGCGGAGAGCAGGGTCGAGTGCTAGGCCTCACCTGGCCCTGGGACCAGGAACAGGCGCGCCATCACTAAGGTGGGGAAGTCCCCAGTGCTGAGCATGGTGCTGCTGGGGCATCTCCCTATGATGATGGCTTTTCTTTTAAAAAATATGGAACTACTCTTGAGTTGGTTGATAACCTTGAGGAAATAGGATTTCACTGTTGACTGGAAATCATTTTCACTCCAGCAAATATTCCATTGTTGCCGCTGCTTTGCTGCAGCCAAACTAAATAATGACACAAAGGCCAGAGGTTTCCGCCCTAGCAGAGAAGGCTTGGCTTGGCTCTTCTTACAGGGTGTGCCCGTCCTGCATTCTTGTTCACCTCAGTGTTTTATTAAGATATGAGGAAGTGTTTGGATTAAACATGAGTTAGTCAGAAAGTTTGCACACACCATTCAGAGAATAGTAGGTCTCTGGTTTAAGGTGCTGTTTAGCCTGCTGTGCTGGCCTATTATTGAAATACCTGAGCAGTCTGATTGCTTCCAAATTGCTATGTTGGAAGTTAAAATAATAAGGGGGATGGTCTCCATCCTGTCATCACATTTAAATTAAGAATTGGTTATAGGTTTATTACTGTTCAGTTTAAGCAAAATTTCTGTAAAACAAGTCAATACTAGTCGTTTTTTAAGATTAAAAATAATTTTTAAGTGCTTTGGTACCTTTATTCTGTTTAGGAAAACTTTATTTTCAGGAGATATCTCAATATTCAGAAATAAGCTTTTGGTGTTTAAAAATAAAGTTGATGGGGTCAAAGGGAACTATTGTGTGATGTGAACACTGAGGGCTAGTCCTGAGTCCCTTGTGCTCATCAGCTTATTTGCAGATGGTATCATGACAAGACATACTTCTCTGCCATTTAAGACGTAAGCATGTTGAATATTTTTATTTTCTCTGGAAAGAGTCCATTTTTTATACAAGACAGTCAGACCAGAATGACCTGTCTGGTCCTTCAAGGTCTTGCCTAAGCTGAGGAGGAGTGGAGCTGGTGAAAGCCAAGCATTTTCCCACCCATCATTTCTGGCTCTTGTCCTCCATCTACAGCCTTCAGTCAGAGGGCTGAGAAAGAGGCACAAGGCACAGGAAGATCTGGTGTTCACATCGTTGGTTGTCTGGAAGTTTGAATTAAAGAGGTTGGTAATCTGACCAGGGACTCAGGTTCTGATTTCTAGAACTGACAAGCTTTGTCTCCTTTAAGACAAAGAAAGTAATTTAACCAAGGCCCCAGAAAGATAGGCATGCTTCTAAGATACAAAGGCAGTAATTGTCAGGCAGCAGTATTCAGAGTTGGATTTACTGAGAGAGGCAACATTTTAAAAGCCTCTTGGGAGATTACACAGATAAAGTTTATTTTGGCTAAGATTTAATCAGTTTGTTCTAAATTCTGTATATCCTTAGACACATTCTAGTTTCTTTGATCTTGGTTTTGCAGTTTTATCAGTTTAGCAAGTTAACTCTCAATTCATGTAAATTATAAGATTTAATAATTTGATTAGTATATAATTAATGGAAATTTATAAAACCATTTATAAGCTCATTTTTCCTATAGGTTTTCCTTCATAATTTAGATCTGTTGAAGAAAATCACATAATTGATGCTTACTGATGGAATGAAAGTTTGGGATCCCCGACTCTGGTTGATGGTCGGGGGGAGAACCCTTTGGTTGCTGGCTGCTGTTCCTGACCCTGGGTAGAGGTCTAGGTTGGAAATGGTGGCCAGCTTTCTCACCCAGTAGCAGTTTATTACAACTAGGATTCAGATGCTGCTATTGGCCCCCAGGGACCATGGTCCTGAGTTATTGACCTCTGGTCAACATGTAAAATTATTTATATATCTTAGGCTCATTTAGGCTGTTGAGGTTTTCACAGTAAATTTTAAAAAAAGTCTTTGTACAGAAAATTTCAAACATTTCAGTTGCTTTTTTATAGAATGCTGCACATCTAAGAGTTTCTTGGCTTGAGATTTGGTGGCAGCCCTTAGGAGAAAACTCAGGCATTAGTAGACAATTTGCTTGGCTTTGGAATTCAAAAGCTTCAGACTTCATGACTGTTCAGATGCATCCTGACTCCGGCAGTGTGAGAGAATAACATCAACCTCCTGGTCAGATGTACTCTATTCCTCAAAGCAGAGAAGAAGGGAAAGTAGGTTAAAAACTGAGGACAGAAAGTGAGGTTTTATATCTGAATTTTTCATTTATGTATTTTAGTTATGACAGAAATTCACTGTGCATAACTAGGATCAGGCAAAGTGATTTTATTAGAAGTTTGATAGAACCCATAGTATTTTCTGAAGTTCAGACATGCCAGGAGTCCTCACTGTGGCTGAGCTTGTCAGCAGCCTGTCCATCATAGCTGTGGGCCTGTGGGAAAGCACTGCATGGACAGCAGCTCCTGGGCCCATCTGATCACAGAGCTCTCCTGCCAAGGTCACAGCACTGGCCTGACCTTCCCCTCAGCAGGACATTGCACAGCAACCGTTGATTGTAAAATTTTCTTGTTTGACTGGTCTAATACAGTTCAGTTGAGAGATTTCAAAGTAAAAAGTCCTTGTGGATACTAATTTATGTATAATTTACTGTGCTTTAGTTACACTTATCAGAAAATCTGACTTAAATGGTCCTTAACAGAACAGGATTTTCCTGGTCCATGTGACTTAAAGTCTGGGGCTCCTCTGAATTCAACTTGCCTCCACAGTGCCCAGTTTCTCCCTCCACCTCTACCAAATGCTCTTATGCATGGTTATGTTCCCAGATCCCCTATGAAAATATCCCCCTCAAGTTACACCCAAGTGCCATGAAAGGCCAGGCAGAAGAGTAGGATTCCAGAGAGGGAGTGCAGGGTAAAACGTACTGTGTTGAGCTGTTTTAAGGTGTGTATGCTAATAGAAGAACCTGGTAGATCCAGGGTAACATACCATACATTTAGCATTTAATGAAAAGGAAAACCATGGTTATACTTTTTTTTTTTCCAGAAGAACTTCCAAAAAATGTAATGTGCGTACTGAGTAATCGTAGATAAAAACATTGACATATAGGTTAATTGTTTATGTATTCTACCCATTTTCCCATTTCCTAAGTGACTAGAATGTAGATAAAGACCAGTCAAAGCTAGTCCCATAGTAGAAAATTGAAGTTCAAAATAATTCTCCAGCAAATACCATGGAGAGATCAGGAATATTCTTCAATGGTATTAGGGTATGGTTAGCTGCATAATAAATAAGCCTCTGGTTCCCACTGCTCAGTGCAGCAGAAATCCCTTCTCCCTCAAGTGGGGTGTTATGGGTGGGCTGGTCTTGCCGTAGTGGTTGAGGTCTCAATCCTTCCTTCCTCATCCAGCAAGTGGTGGACACAGCTTTCTTGACCATCCTGGTGTGGAACGCACACACTACCATCTCTGGGGATGGCCCATCCTATGTCAGGAAACGTGAATGAACACACAGCTGCACTGCCTTCAACCAGCATGGCAAACCCTCTGGTGGAACCCTCATTCTGTGAAAACCAAGGCTGTATGTCCTTGCCTTCCTTTATGAGCCAAGTCAGGAAACAGGTGTGTTGCAGACAGGTATGTGTCGCAGCCAGAGCATGCACCTGATGAACAGATCCGTCAACCTCAGCAGTTTTCTACTCATATGCTTGCTTGTCTTGCTGATTCATCACAGCTTGATACCTTCCCTCCTACAATCAAAATGTCAGGAAGCCAGTATGTATACACCAGAGAGTTCAAAGTCTGTGTGCTGAACAAGTATAGGTGGAAACTTGGAAACTGGAAATGCCCTTTCCTGTATTTTTTTTCCTTAGTCATTTGTGGAATACCGAATAAACAGTTTTCCATCTTTAGTAAGTTACCTCAAATCATGACTGAAATCTGCCTCCCTCAGTTGTGCTCTGTAGGCCCAAGTGTTTACCTGGAGTTCTCCTCCTTCTCAGTTTCTTAAGACTTTCTGAATCCAGACTGCATAGCAAGAGCATCAATAAGAGGAAATGTTAGCGGGCACAGCAAATAGATGTGGGTTTTGAATGGCTTCCTTAAGACTCCTCCTGTGCTGTGTGGATTCTGGGAGAGGGACAGAAAAGCCCTTTCCAGATGGAGGCCCAGGTCCACCAACATGACCAGCCAAGCCTGTCTCTTGTTAGATGAGCAAGACCTCTGGGGAGTTCTTGAACCAGATCAACCCTAACAGTCGATTTAAACATCCTGCATTCAGTCTCCAAATGTGACTGAGGCTGGCTCCTGGCTGGACTGCTTAACCAGGGAGAAATTCTGAACCCAGGCATCGGGTGGTGGTTCTGGGACTTGACTCCCAGAAGCTCTCCTGGGAACCTGCACTTTTCTTCCCAGGATAATCCTGTACGTAGTCAGAGCTCCACTTGGCCCCTCTGTCCTCTCGTCTCTGGGAGGTGAGGGCACTGCACCCTGTCCTTGGATGTGTACCCCTCTGCTGTCCTTGAATATTGGCTTGTGATTGTTTTCATCAGGTCCTGGACTGGGTTGAGGTCATGCTACCGCCTTGGAGGGACCTCCTTGCCCCCTGTCCAATGACACTTGGGTGCTTCTGAGCATCTTCCTGTGTGTAAAAGCTGTGGCATCAAGCGTTTCAGGCTTTCCTTCTCTCAAGGTCACCAACTAAACAGGACAGGTCTTCCAGGACCCACGGAAGGCTGCAGGAAGCATCCTCCTGCTTCCTGCTGCTAGTGACTCTTGGAGCTCCCTGCAAGCAAGCAGCCCTCTCCAGTTCTCTCTGCACCCTCTGTCTCCTGTGATTCCACTCAGGTGATCAAGGTCCGTTCTACAAGTAGGTCTCATTTTCAGGGTCCAGGTTGACCTGTATCTGGGACTGCCCTCCCCCATGCAAGCTCCCTCAGATATGCCCTGTTAGAGGCACTGCCTCAGGAGCTCAGGTCTCCTGTCCTGGAGGCTGGCTCTCTCACCATGGCCAGCTGCCCTGCACTCACTTCCTGGCAGACCTGTAGCTTTTCTCTCTGATGGGTGAGAAATGGAGGCTCAGCCACCTCACTTTGCTTTCTCCTGCT